TTTTCAACTGTGATAGTTTCCCACTGGTGCCCTCAGAGATGGGTTCCTTCTGCATAGAACAGGACAGAGGAAAGGGACAGAATCTATGAACTTGAACTCTGCAATGTTTTGCTCTTGGTTATGTGACTCATCACAAGTATTCTAAGTTTCAGAAAAAGGCAAAGAATGCAATAGCTGGGGGCTGTCACCAGATAGCTGATATCTTTTCCACACACAGCTGTGGTTTTGTAGAAATCCATACTCTGATATCATTGCAGAAAAGCTTCCCTATCCCAAGAGCAATGCAGAACTGATTCCCTAAAACAGGAACACCCTAATCTTATTCTCAATTATTCCAGAAAATGGTGTTGAAATAGAAGTGGAACAAGTGGGCAGAAATTGCTCCATAACTTTCAGGGTCCAGGGAAAAATGAAATGCCAGGCCCTTTGTCCAAAAGTTGTTAAGAATTCTAAGTTGGCAACAGCTAACCATTTATGTAGGTAACGTAAATCAAGCTGGGTGTAGGGGGCAGTGTGGAAGATACCCTGAAGGAGTGGATTAGCAGTTAATCAGATCATGAAACAATTGTCATTGAATCAACTCCAATTAACAGACACTGTGTGCGTGTGGGTGTGTGTCAGAGAGCAATTCTGTTCCATAGGGTTTTCAATGGCAGAAAGTGTTCAAAACCAAACTGTCAAGTCTTTCTGTTTCTATATACAGAGCAGATCATCTGGGAGGCTGGACTTTATGAGGAGGAATGTGACATCAAGACTGGAGGAAGACACATCAACAACCTGTGTTATGTAGATGAAACAACCTTGCTTGCTGAAAGTGGAGGACCTGAAGCGCTTGCTGCAGAAGGTCAAGGACTGGAGTCTTCAGTATGGATTGAAGCTCAGTATAAAGAAGATAAAGATTCTCACCACTGGGCAAATTGGCAGTACTATAATAGATGGAGAAGAGATGAGGTTTTGAACAATTTCAGCTTGCTCCACAATCAACATTCTTGGTAGCAGCAGTACAGAAATCAAGATGGCTTGTTCTGGGGACAACTGCTATTAGGACCACTCAAAGGTGCCGAATAGCAACGATGTCAGTCTGAAGACTAAGGTGTGCCTGATTCAGGCCATGGTCTTCACAGTTACTTGCTGAGCATCAGAGAGCTGGACAATGACTAAGGATGACAGAAGAAGAATTAATGCCTTTGAGCTGTTGTGCTGGAGAAGAGCACTGAACATCCCATGGATCACCAAGAGAACAATCAGGTTTATCCTGAAAAGGGTGAAACCAGGCTGCTCCTTGGAGGCTAGGCTTTTGAAGCTCCGTCTCACATACTTTGGGCATGTGGCAGAAGGGACCAGTCCTTCGAGGAGGACACCATGTTTGAAAGGGTGGAAGGAAGCTCAGGAGAGAAAAACCCCAGATGAGGTGGAGTAATTGGGGTAACGTGGGTAGGTGTGTCAGAGACAGGGAGATTGGCTCCAGATACAGCAGCAGAGTTCAGAGCTATTGTACATAGGGTCACTTATGAGTAGCAGGTGACTAGATGACACATAACAACATGACCAAAGTGGACTCAAGCCTCCAACCTATATGTTAGCAGTCAAGTTTGTCAATGACCTGTGTCATTTAGGGACTCGAATTCAGTAATAAAGGCACTGCTTTTAATTCCTATGAATAAAATCCTTTTCTATGTAGGGTTCATTTCATTTCTTGAAGAAGTGTTATTGCCACCATCGCTAGGCATCTCTCTGTTGAATGAAAACTCGGTGGTTTGAATCCATTGGCTGTGATGTGGGAGAAAAGTGGAATTATCTGGTCCCATGATGATTCTCCCTGTCGTCGAGTTGGGTCCGACTCACAGTTGACCCTCCACTGAGTGTTCTGAGGCTGTAAGTCATCTGGGAGGAGGTTGCACACATTTCTTCCACAGAGTTGCCGGTGGACTTGAACTTCCAGGGAAGTGTTACTTTTGGGTTAGCAATGCAACACGCTGTGAGCCACACACACCACCACAGCTCCCTCCACACCAGCTACACGTTGGAAACTCTACCGGCTGTTCCACTCTGTTAATATCAGCTGGATACAAGTTGATGGCAATGGTTTGTTTTGGTTTAAGATGTTTTCATTCAATTAATCCTTAAACAGGACTGGGTTGGTAAGATCTTCATGAGTCATACAGAAATGATATTTTTTAAAGCCTCACAAATACTGTTATAAGAGCACTGTTAAAAAAATAAATTGGTTATGAAGAGATCAGGGACAGCAGGAAAAGAATGGACAAATAATGAACACTATTATGCTACCAAGCCCAAGGTGGGTGATTTTAATCTGCGGCCCTCAGGCCTGGTTCAAATTGTTTTGTTTTGGTTTTTTTTCCAAACATTCTTCTAGGTGGTATAGCACTGGTCTGTGCATTGCTGTACAGAGGTAACTCGTGGTTGCTGTGATGCTAAACGCTTGTGACCCTGATATGCCAAATGTGATGATGGTTACCCATGGTGGACAGTGTTTGGTGGAGCTCCCTAAACAAAATTGGATTAGTAAGAGCCGCATCCACTACTGAATGGCTTGCCTTGAGAAACTCTATGAACAGTGCTCAGGCCTTTCGTTCATAGGGTCACTATGAATTGTCTATGACTTGGCGGCACCTAACCACAACAACATTGGACAAGGTGAAGGTCAAGTCAATGGGAAATCAAAGAACAATGAGAAACTAAGTGTATTGCAGCTGACCTGGGACAGTCATGCATATGGGAGAAGGACACAAATGAACAGGACGTGGTTGGGAGAAGGAAGGAAAAAAGAGACTAAGGAAAATTTTACGCACAGATAAAAGCAAATGAGAAGGATTGAGAGGGTGGAAGGGGTTGCAAGGGAGCAGAGGTTGGTGTACGGATGGGTTGGGTGAAGGCAGAGGGATGGTGCAGCGAAATCTCAGTACGATGTAAATAATGGGGTCGTGCGAATGCAACCAATGCTAGCTAGGTCCATATAAACGACTGAATGAAAACCAATCATAAAAAGACGTCAAAAAGCCCTACTCACTCCTGCTTCCCATGTCTGAAATCGTTCTTGAGAATCTCTCTCATGGTGTGGAGTGGGAACTGGCTCCCAGCTGACTCTCTGTTGGATCTTAAAGGCCGGAAAGCACACAGGAGAATTGTAGAGTCTCTGATGGACCCAACGGACAGAGGCAGAGTTTTTGGGCTGAACTGCACAACTCCCTACCAACAAGGCCACTGAATCGCCCTTGATAAAGAACAGCAATAACTAATAATTGTTGTTGTTGTAAAATAATTAAGAATAACAATAATAATTAACAATAACAGTATTAACTATTAACTAATAACTAATAATAATAACCTCATCCAAAAGCATTGAGCAGTAACAACGATAAGCTGAATCTTAGTTACCGGAGCTTATGACTGCATGGATAGCTGCTGATTTTTGTATTTTGTTTGCAAAAGAAAAAGAGGGGGAAAAATAATCTGGCAATGAACTTGTGAGGAATAATCAAGCGATGAGGAATTATGTATCTGCCGCTGGGTTAGGTGCCATCAAGTTTGCTGTGACTCATAGCAACCCACACACAATGGGAGGAAGGGCCATCTGACCCTGCCCCATCCCCACCTGCACCACTCTGCTGTGCTTAAGCCCGCCTGCCCTCCCCCCTGCACCACTCCTCTCACTGAGGGCGTTCCTCCCCTTCTCTGAGCCTCCACCTTTTCAATGAAGGTGTCCATTTCCAAGGACAAGGCCACATCATCACCCCTTCTAAGAAACACTCTGACTGGACCTCTTCCAAAAGACACTTGCTTTTTCTTTGGTGGTCTATGGCAATATTCTTCACTAGCCAAATGAGACTCACTGCTTTTGACTGGACTCTGCCTCACAGGGGTGGAGGGTGCTCTACTGGGTTCTGAAGGCTATATACATGTCATTACAGACAAAGCCCACCCATATTCTTGGTTGGTAGATTTGAAACACTGATCTTACAACTCAACATGTACTGTGCCTCACCACCAAGGCTTATGCGTGTATAATCCACCCACCCAGGCAGAGAGGATGACCTGGAGGAGGCCACATTCGCAGGGATTTCTAAGGGGAAAAGCACAGCATGGACTCCAACTCCGACACAGTGCAGAGGAGCAGGGAGGCATCCGGGGAACATCTGGAAGGCATTTCCTCTCGTGATCTCGAGACTCTGACTTGGCAGGCAGGCATGCTATCTGTGTTTATGTCCAGAAGACCAGCTAGCTAAGAGAAATGGCATGGAGAATCCCACCATTTAGATAAAAGGAGAAAAGAGAAAGGAAACAAATACTTGTGTGATTTACAGTTCATGCCTCAAAAGGGAGTGATAAAAATGCCTGATTCACATGAATCAGATGAAGGGGCAGCTGCGTCTGCTGTGCAACCCTACTTTGGTGCCAAAGCAGAGCAGGACAACTACAGGCTTCTCCCTGTCTCCTCTCCACTCAGGGAAGAGGCAGCCTGGGCTTGCTGACACCCACGATTTATGTCCTGCTGTCTCAGGACCTCACAGGCATTTAAAAATCACCATCACAAGAACATGGGAACAGCCCAAATGGCCAACCACAATCGAATGGATTGAGAAATTATGGTACATTCACACAATGGAATACTATGCAGCACACAGGAGCAATGATATTATAAATTATTACCTAACTTGGGAGAGACTGGAGAGAATTATGCTGAATGAACTAACTCAGTCCCACAAGGATAAATATTGCATCAAACCATTATTGTAGAATGAGCATAAGGATCCAAGAGGGGTGGCAGAGGGTGGAAGCAGAGGGATGAGGATGTATTAATCATGGGGTTGTACCAATGTATCCAAATTTTTAAATAAACTAACAGAAAAAGAAGAAAAAAAATCAGTTTTGCTTCTTTGCTTGTAGAAAGCAAGGATAACAGTTAACACTCTGTCAATACCTGAGCACTTTAAAACTTACAGAAAAATATCTGCAAAACAGAAGACAGAATCTCATACCTGGGAGGACAGGCAGAGATTTTGCAAGACACCATCCCCGTGGTAGGTCGTGTCTTGGGGTTGCAGAAGGATGCGTTCACTTGCACCTTCAGGTCTTGGTAGCAGCTTGTTTTCGTGGTCATCTGTCCTGTATGGGAGGATGAGAATGACAAGTAAGACCCAGAGCATGTCACCACCTATTGCCATCAAATTGGTTTTGACTTCTAGTGACCCTGAAGGACAGAACAGAATCGCCCCACAGGGTTTCCCAAAGGTTGTAGTCTTTTTTTGGAGAACACAGCCTCACCTTTCCAGGAGAAAAGTTGGATTAGAACCATGATCTTTTGCTGGCTTTGCAAAACCCACTATTTTCATTTGGCACTTTTCTAGAATGATTTTGTACTTCTTCCCAATTTTGATGATCTCTAAGCAGAAACAATCTATTTGGGAGTGACTTGGTAAAGGTCACACAATAATTCTTTAGAAATTCATGAGAATTTGTTTAGTCAATGAGGAGACGGTGAAGGATAATGGTTTGATATATGTTTATATCACACACAATATTGCCTCCAGACTAATGGTAACAGCTCACATCAGTGCCCACTAAGCATGACTTTCAATTCTAGGAGTCAATAGGCAAAAAAAAATTTTTTCCCCAATTTGATTACAATTCATAGTTAAAATCTGCTCCAAGTCTTCTTTGCTTTTACTGAGCAAGGTCATATCATCTGTATAACACAGGTTTCTAATGATGTTTTCCTCTAACTCTGATTCATGTTCCTCCAAATATAGTCTAGTTTCTTGGATCACTTGCTCAACATGTTGTTGTTGTTATGTGCCATCGAGTTGTTTGCGACTCATAGCGACCCGGTATACAACAGCCCTAAACCCTACTCTATCCTGTGCCAATTGCATGGCCTCTGACACACTCATCCAGATTACCCCAGTCACTGAATCAATCCACCTCATAGAGGGTCTTCCCCTCCTGCGCTGTCCCTCCACTCTACCCAGCATGATGTCCCTCTCCAAAGACCTGTCTCTCC